TGTGACCAAAGTACACGATTTTCTAGTGCCAGTTTGACGGGATTTGTTCCTTCCTTAGCAAATTTATTGAAGCCATTCAGAAAGTTCTGATACCCCATACGATTTTTGTAACGAATGTAAAACTAGGCCATTATTTTTTGAATTAGAAGAAACGTCCAGCAGCATCTCACAGATTTTCGAAATCACCAAATACATGGTCGTATTAACAGTCATTTTATTGTAACCACGAATGTCGAAAGCAATATTTGTGAGCATATAACTGGACGGAAATATTTTGCACCCCTGCTATTTGCAGAATAACGATACGCTAAAGTTGACTGATCGAATACACGGGAAGTATTCATTTATCATCTCACTGGCCAACATCGGGCGGAATTGTACGATCATGTTGTCTTCCCTAAATAACATCTGTGTATTAATTATGATATGTCCTTGTTGAATTTTCATTTATTTAAAATTAGAAATTGTTCGGGATGCCCATATAAGTGTATAATAATAATATTATAGTGTAATCAGTAACCAACTTACCAAAAAGAAAGTCTAAGGAGCTTGAGGCGGTCAGCCACGGGTTTTCCAGCGTGGGTCTTACGGTAAAATTAAATACCGGTAAGTGCTTTAATCGTACAATGTACAACTCCGTAAGAGGTCTGTTACATTCCAGAGTTTCGTGTAGCTCGCCTCCCTCTGTAATCGTTGGTGAAGATTTGGTATGCCTATTTCAAGGATATACTTACTAATCTTCGACCATTATTTAATTCGCAATCAGTTGTATCCACGTAGCGAATTTTTCTCATAAATGAGGTATTTCCGGAGAGAAACAAATGTGAGAAATGTTAGAAATAAAACGATAAAAATAGTGAAAATTAATTTCGAGAGAAAAGATAAACTCGCGAGTATCAATGGTGTTATAATCGTTTATATGCACAAAAACGTCGATTGAATGTGCATGAAATGTGTGAAACTATTATTCGTGGTAGTCAATGTTAATCTTTTTATTGTCATTTTATGAGTATTTACCTACACGTGATTAAAGATAGGCAAAATCGTATTTTTGAATAGAATAATTTGAATATTTAGTTTTATTTAATAGAAACTCACTAAAGACCGAAAACTCGGTAACAAGGCGGAGTTTTTACTTCCTAATTTTGTCACAATCGTGGATTATTTTTTGTCACCGCGACCGTTTCAGCGGCGGACATCCTAATTATTGTTGGACTATTTTTTAAAGCACCTTTTTCACAAGTAATAATTCTCACGCAGCGGCGGACATTAAACTTATTTTTATATTTCAAGCCAAACTATGAGCTCACATGGGCGAAAATGTTAAAGAATCTATTAGGTAGTGAATTCATAAACCTTTTAATTTTATTTTGATCTCATCATCTGGTTTGATAACAGTTTGTAAATTACGGCCCTAGTTTTTAGCGAACAATATTATCATTACTGACCATGTGATGAAAATATTTATAAATATAACAATAGCTGACTTTTTATGATTTTAATTTCTATCGTTTCTGTGTTATTTTCGTATTAAATAATGAATAAAACTCTTTGCAACATCGTTATTGCGTGAATACTCAGTGTTGCTTTGAATTAAATATACTGATAAAATAAATCGACAATGATAGCAATTCTACATGGTCAGAATAATATTCCCGCCTGAAATCTCTGGAAATTTCCATAGAATACATTATTTACCTGTCTTACTTTATCTGGTTTGACGTTTCTAAACGTAAAAACAGCTTTGAAGCGCTTGAATTGAACAGATATGATAGGCGCAGAAAGAAAAATACACCACAACTGAAAGATTTCTCATTTTTATCGTTTCCGTTTGTTAGCGACAGTCGTAGCACTCGTAGGTGAATTCTTTTTCGTAACTCTTACTTCGAAATTGATGTTAATAAATTTGATCTTGCGTTTTAATGCTCCGTGATTTGAATTAATGAAAATGATTGTGTGTGGAGTTTCAAGAGAAGGTCTTAAATTAGCGTATAACAGTTCTTTTATGATTATTATTGAATTGCAATCAACAATAACACATTCTTATTTTCCGCGGATTTGACAGTCGCTGTTGCTGGTTTTCAAATGTCGAAGAATAAATATTCCATTTTAACATATTATAGTTATTAGACGTATTCATGTACAGCCTGATTCTAAACTGCTCTCTGTGGCCTAAAGCAGGGCTACTCAGCTGGCGGACCACGGTCCGAATCCGGACCTTTCGAGTATTTGATTCGGACCGCACTTAATTCTTTATTTTAGACCATTAGCCCCACTTTTGAAGTTTCCATTTATAAAATGAATTATAGTTTTGAATATATATGAAAAGAACTATAACAGTCCAGTGCTCACTATTAGCGCACTTTTTTGCGAAAAGTGAGAAGCACTTTCGCAACTTTTTTTAGGGACTTTAGCACTTTTTTTCCGATTTTGAAAGGCAAAAATTCAAAGTTGACAATTATTTTTGTGCGAGTATTAAGTTGACAAATAAGTTGCCTATACTAGTACTTTTGTGACCCAATTTTGCATTACATAATGATATTTGCTGGAATTCTAACCCATGTGGTGCACACATATGAGACAAACCTTTCGCATTAACGGCAAAATTCTTGTTTATAATGTGATTATTATACAAGCACGCCGATTCCGCTTCTCCCGCAAAAACAGTTGGCGGCGTTATTGAAACCAGATATAACCCAGTGCGTTTCTTCAAACGAGAGTGGTCATGTGAATGTCAATGACACCGAGGAATTGTGACCAAAGTACACGATTTTCTAGTGCAAGTTTGACGGGATTTGTTCCTTCCTTAGCGAATTTATTGAAGCCATTCAGAAAGTTCTGATACCCCATACGATTTTTGTAACGAATGTAAAACTAGGCCATTATTTTTTGAATTAGAAGAAACGTCCAGCAGCATCTCACAGATTTTCGAAATCACCAAATACATGGTCGTATTAATAGTCATTTTATTGTAACCACGAATGTCAAAAGCAATATTTGTGAGCATATAACTGGACGGGAATATTTTGCACCCCCGCTATTTGCAGAACAACGATACGCTAAAGTTGATTGATCGAATACACGGGAAGTATTTATTTATCATCTCACTGGCCAACATCGGGCGGAATTGTACGATCATGTTGTCTTCCTTAAATAACATCTGCGTATTAATTATGATATGTCCTTGTTGGATTTTCATTTATTTAAAATTAGAAATTGTTCGGGATGCCCATATAAGTGTATAATAATAATATTATAGTGTAATCAGTAACCAACTTACCAAAAAGAAAGTCTAAGGAGCTTGAGGCGGTCAGCCACGGGTTTTCCAGCGTGGGTCTTACGGTAAAATTAAATACCGGTAAGTGCTTTAATCGTACAATGTACAACTCCGTAAGAGGTCTGTTACATTCCAGAGTTTCGTGTAGCTCGCCTCCCTCTGTAATCGTTGGTGAAGATTTGGTATGCCTATTTCAAGGATATACTTACTAATCTTCGACCATTATTTAATTCGCAATCAGTTGTATCCACGTAGCGAATTTTTCTCATAAATGAGGTATTTCCGGAGAGAAACAAATGTGAGAAATGTTAGAAATAAAACGATAAAAATAGTGAAAATTAATTTCGAGAGAAAAGATAAACTCGCGAGTATCAATGGTGTTATAATCGTTTATATGCACAAAAACGTC